GGAGGAACAATCTCAGATACATCGGCCATGAAACGCGATATATTGTTGGAGGATGAAGTGAGGAAAACTGTAAGTACCAGTTTGGGGAAATAATTTAAAAAATGTGGTATAATGCTTTGCAAAAACTATCCCACGATAGCAGAATCTGTGAAGACAGTATTATTGAAATTAAATGTACCACGAATATGAAGACTTAAAAATTATGTGGAAAAAGGAAAACCAACCCAGAAGTTTTATGTGCAGATGGCAGCTACAATAGTGGTCGTAGGTAAATGTATTTAACAGGGCTTCAAAAGGGCTATTTTGATGTAGCTAATTGCAACTACAGTACAAATAAAAAAGTAGAAATCATTATTGTTACATTTGATGACAACTATGTATCAGATTTTCTTAATATTTTAGTCTCTTTGTGAAAAGATAATATGTATTCATTATTATACCAAAGAAGGTAGGGTAAATAAATTGCATACCTATTCTATTATGGTAACTGTATTTTTATTTAACTAATAAATTGTGACACTATCAAGTGGTTCGACCTGTATTATTTATAATGTACTCATAAATAAGGTGCATAAGAGGCTAAATATGTTATGTTTTTTTGTGTGAGCTATTGATATTTCTCTAAATTTAGTTTCATCATTATCATAATAAAATTTCAATGCACAATTCGAATGCTAACAATATTTCCCAGCATATAGCGATAAGTTTTTGTAAGTATAAAAAGAATCTCGCAAAATAAAGACACAGGCGATCGCAGTGAGAAGTTGGCCGTTAATGTGAAACCTTATAAGATCTAAGGTAATAACAATTAACAATAATACATTATATTTAATAGATATTCACATCTAATTTTGATTTGAGTAATATGTTTATAACATTTTCATCTAGATCAAATAAAGCAAAACTGTATATATTGTAGGTTTTTAATTATACCGAGAAAAGAAACAAAAACAAATTACTATCACTGCTTTTGCTTTGGCGAAGATTTAGTAGCCAGACACCACCAGCCACACTAAAGATGTTGATCATATTTGCCTCTGTAATGCAGAACCTAAAGAGTAAATGGAACTAATTCTGAAGCCACACCAGAAAACAGCCATTTTTCATATAAATGTACTACTGACGATGTCCTTGTAAGGTACCAATTCCCTGTGAATGAGTGAGTACATTTTCCTCTTTTATCTCTTGGGTTTCACCCAGATTATACTGAGCAACATCACTGTCTTCTCCAGCAAAGGATCACCTAGAATTTAAATCTTATAAGCCTTAAGAGCACGTGAAGAACGTTAATAAATTTACCTTCGTTTTTAGAATATTCTTGTCATTTTAGTCTGTAAGTTTGTCAATTTTTTTTTGCAAGTTTGCTCGTCCATATGTTAATACTTACCTGTAGTGGTACGTAAACCTTAAAATAGCAACTTTAACTATATATTTTTATATTTATACATATTTACATTTATAAACTATTTATACTACTATTATAAGCTATTTATGAAAATAACAAAATCAAAATTTATACTTAACGAAAAGGGCGGCCCTTTCAATTAATTTAATTTTCTAAACTTTTATATGTACTAGTTAATAAAACAAATTTCTATTGTATTATATAATCCCAACTAATTTTTACATTAAAATTATATTTAGAACTATTATAATTATTTTGCTTATCTTGCTCCCCTTCCTCGTCGATTCATTCGACTGGCGCCCATGGTTTACTAATTATAACACCTTAAATAATATAAATAGAGCAACAAAATATCCAACCCACGACCATTAATAACTAATAATAACCAATAATAAATAAAAAATAAATAAATAAAATTAACCTCAAACAACTGGGGAGGGCACAAAATCTTCGAACATAAAATATTAGCACCTTTATGTTTACTGTTGACAAACATAGATGTGACGTCGCGTAGACGCCATGACACCGGCGACCATTTTTGGATGAGTTTAGACTTAAAATTAAAATGTCAATATTTTTCTACTAAACCTTTTATTTTCTACAGAAGTAAGATATCTTTTGGAAATAGTAAATACCTCCGAACATCATAGAACAGTTTTTTAAAATCTGTCATCATACCTAATAAATTAAAATTATATCAATGATGCTGAGTATGCGTATTAAAGATAAATTCATGTAAGGGAAGTGGCCTCGCAACAGGATATAATTTAAGAAAAGTATAGTTATGGTTAAGAGTTCGTCTATAATAAACCTCTTGAAGAAAAAAACCTCGGTAAGCACACTGACACAGCACAACACCAAGAATAAAAATAAAATTACTTGGTAGAACCATTGTATAAGATTTACTTATACAATGGTAGAACTAGAAAATGCCACTAATGATGACGGGAGATAACAATATTAACAAGATCTCACCTGCGTCTGAGGCTATTGTTTCCGAGCACGCGTATTAGGAATAACACGGCTAATATTAAATCTTTACTTTATTTAAATTTAGGAATATTCTTTTATATCGTTTTTTGTTAAGTTTTAAGCACATTAGTGTATATATTTTACAAAACACGTGTTGGTTGTTCTTAAATAGATACTTCTAAATCCTTGTAAAAATAAATTAATTTCCATCACGCGCTAGGGCTGTCAGGTGTCCCGATTTAGGCGGGATTGCCCCGATTTTATTTGATTTGTCCCGCCTCGCTCTTAATCGGGACGCAAAAATCTCGACTGTCAGTTATGTCGCATAAAGGCGTATTTATACAGAGCGGACTGTTGGAATTTGCACTGGCAAGAGGAGAATTGCTAGTTTATTTAATTTTTAATTCCCGCGCCACATGGAGACAATTTGCGCCACCACTTACCGAAGCAGATGCAGTTTTGGAAACTATGATTAATTATTTAAATAAGTGTTTTAACATTGATGACACTAGATTAAAATCATTAGAAATCATGAGTCTGGAAAATGATTTTAATTTTGACAAAATTGTAGAAGTTGCCGAGAATTTTGAAATTGCAATAAATCAGGATTTGTTGTTTGAGGAATATTTAAAATTAAAATCTTTTTTGGCTGAACCCGATACCACTATTCAAAAATAATTTAATTTAAATCATTTTGTTATGACCAAAAGTGGGTGTATTTCTTTACAAATAATATATGCCCAAACCTGGGAAAGATTTGCAATTTTGTTTTCTCCTTGCCTCATTCTAACGCGTCTTTAGAACGCGTATTTAGCTTTATGAATAAAGTGTGGAGAAAGGAGAGAAACTCCCTGTTAAGGTGACCATATCCCTGACCGAGAAATAGTGAAATTTATGGCGTTCTTAGGTACCTACTGAAATCTTGAAAAGTAAAACGTGTAGAACAAAACTAAGCACAAAAATAAAATCCTTGATGTTCTTTAAATTTACTCAAATAAAATAATAACTAAAAAAAGCGTTCGTAAAACATGCGTTTGCTGTTATCCTGACCCCACATTTTAAGAATTATGTTTACGTACTTATAAATAAAAGTGAACAATTTTATATGTAGGACTAGCAAGTAAATGTTATAAGAATATTTACATGTGGAGTTATATATAAAAAAGTTGGTATTTTCGTAGATTTCAGTACCCAAAACCTTGATGGTTTGATCGTTCTTTGCACCTGTTTATTCGTTGTACTGCGGCACTGCGGAGTCTTCGAAAATACTCCGGTGGCATGACATAACATTCCTATTATTTGATAGCTTTAGATTATTCAGTTATTAAATGTTTGAAATTATTTGTCTTCGCGGAAAACACTATTTAAAGAATATGGCGCCCTTAATGAAAACCGTAGAAGCCGAACTAATGGTTAAGTTTAATTTTAAAATGACTTGCAATGAATTTTTCAATTATCAGAAAACCGAGACAGGAAAAAAAATTTTGCAACTGGCAAAATCTAATGAAAAATATTTGCAATAATTTGTTAAGTATGGACAATGTTAAACAATAAAGCAATATACTTTGTACATTAAGCTTTTAATTTAACTTCCCTTCGTGCTGACTCGAATATCCCGCTTTTTAGTGTTGGAAACCTGACAGCCCTATCACGCGCGCTCGCTATGGGACCGTTATGTGCACGGAAAGTGCCAGATAGTACAACGGCGACATAACCCCGTACGCTATAGGTTCCATAACGACTCGCACTTGTGATAGAAAATAGTATGTGCAAGTGCAATGCAACTCGTTCGGAAAAGTTGCCATAGCGCCACTTGAGCACTTTCAACTGCGCCCGCGTGACGCTATTGGCAACTTTTCCTCACTCGTTGCACAATGTACTATTGAAGTTGTTCATTTTTATAGTATCTGTGTAAATACTACACAAGGACCAGGTTCGGTCTGTATTGCGGGTTGCCTACATATGTGATGTCACACTAAAGGTAAATGTCCATTTATTCGTATCGGACGGACGCATCTAACAGTCGAATCGAACAAAAATAATTACATTATTTTAAATGGAGCAAAGTATATATGTTCGCATTTGTCTATGCGATTCGTACTATAGATGGGCCTACGATATTAAGCTCACAAAATTTTTGATAGGTCATCTGGAAGTATTGAAAAAGTTTTGCATTATCCTGCATTAAATCTTCAAATAGAGTATGAAATTCTCCATAAATTTTCTTCTTCATATTGATATTGTGAACTCAAAATCTTCGTTTTCTTCTTTTCTTCTCCTAATTTTCTTCTTCCTCAAAAACGCTTGCAATGGCGACTATCTCTTCATCTGAACTGTTAATTTTGACAACAGAAATAACACTGATTTCGCGAATACGTTAGGCAAATCCGAATGTAATGTGCGCTTATAAAAGAGTCTATCGTTTTTCTAAGAAAAAAGTTCTCTTCCATTTTAATCGACATCATTTTAATGTTATTTTTTGTTTACGAGGTTACATCCACTGTAATTGTAAAACTATTCCTCTCACAGACTCAATACCACAAGACCAAAAAATCATTGCGGTCTTGAGCTTACATTAAATTATTCAAATAAATGTATGTAATGTCGTTTTGTCTTGTTTCAGAGCCAACATGGCGCTTTTTTCGCTCGCCGTAGCACTTTCGGCACAACAGCAAACCAGCTTAATAAATCTTTCCTTAAGTTTACCTACCGTAAGCAGCACCCAAAACGATGAGTTCTGTGCTGCTTTGGAAGGAAGAGCCGGCGTCGCCTCTCAGCTATGATGAGGTCACGCTGCTCGACACCACGTTCTATCAAACAACACCCGAGGATCCTTACGACATAAAATTCGAATCGGATTTGACACCATGCGAATCAAAGGCAGAAGTTGCTTCTCAGATTCTCGAGAACCTGGAAAATCTGATGGATCTAGATGATCTCATCAAAGAAGGTAGGTAATCTTGTAACACATTATTTTTTGTACCTAAATTCATACAGCTACATAGTTCAATTAAATGGGCCTTTACATCGCAGTTTTGGTCAACTTACCTGAATTTTTTATATAAGTTAGTTTGAGGCATATAATAACAATAGTGACAGTAATTTTTTTTCAATCCCCTGCCAGGGGTAAAAAAAGATAAAATAAGGGGGTTTTTCAAGATAACTAAATAGGGGTAAGAGATAGAAAAAAGCTTCTAAAGGTTGTAGAGCATAAAATTCTGCATAAAAATGGTTTATAGGTTATTCGCATATAAAACCTAAACTAACAAAGCAATCTGAATGCTATAAAGAGACAATTTGTAGAGAATCGAAATACGAATAGAACGAGATAATTAGAAACGAAGAAAACCCGGAAAATCAGAAAATTTAGTTTTTTAAAAAATTCATTACTCCGCCATTTTTTAAGTTGTAGAGCTCACCCTGTGCACAAAAGTAGCGAATTATATGTACTTTGATGGTCTATGGTGTGCACAAAGCAGGCGCTGTAGGACCATTAGTTTTGGCACAAGTGCAAATTGAATCTTTTGCTGCACTATTTTGCAAAATTTCTGGATGCGTTGGAAGTGGTCCGATTTTAATTTTTCAGTGAGATTTTAAAAGTAGAAGTTTAATACTACAAAACGTATATTCTAATTTTCCGATAAAATGATGCGAAATAGGTGAAAAATTCCTTCAAACATGCTCAAAAACGGCCAAGCGCGCGTACGCAATCGAGGGAAGGTCGGGAGATGAGGGCAGTGGATAAATAGGTATACAATTTTGAATATTGTTAGTATAGTTTAATATTATTGTAAGTGGTAATACATAATAAATACCAATACAAGGAATCGCAATGCTGTGAAACCTGTGGACATTCCTTGATTTGTCCCTGCATTTTTTGACATTTATGCGAAATCTTGACATCAACGTGAATTTGAAAGTTTTACAAAATGTATTTTTCTGTTCCAAAGAATACATATTTAGGTGTCCTTGTATACCGTTAAGGAAATTTTATTTAATTTTGTAAGTTTATGAACGAATTTACAATAAAAAGTTGTTTTTCTCGGAAATGTTTTTCATAATATTCAAACGAAAGATTTTGCAATAATATTTACCTATTGGCAGATGTAGATGCTTCTGCTATATCGGAGTCTTTTGTAGACTCCATAATACTAGTATTATTTATTATGTATCACCAGTAATATTAAACTATAATATAACTAACAATATTCAAAATTTTATACCTATTATGTATCCACTGCCCCTCATCTCCCGATCTTCACCATTCCTATTACTCGACCGCGTACGTGCGCTAGACCGTTTTTGAGCATGTTTGGAGGAATTTTTTACCTATTTCGCATCGTTTATCGGAAAATTAGAATATACGTTTTGCAGTATTATACTTCTACTTTTAAAATCCTGCTGAAAAATTAAAATCGCATCACCTCCAACGCATCCAGAAATTCAAATTGCAATTGTGCGAAAAATAATAGTCCGACAGCGCCTGCTTTGTGCACACTTAAAGTACTATTCACTATTTTTGTACACAGGGCCAGCTCTATAACTTAAAAAATGAATGAGTAATGAATTTAAAAAAAAACGTTAAATTTTCCGATTTTTCCGGGTTTTCTTCGTTTCTAATTATCCGATCGGATCGATCGACCTCTCGTTTTATTCATATTTCGATTCTCTACAAATTGTCTCTATAGTATTCAGATTGCTTCTTTAGTTTAGGTTTTATAAGCAAAAAACTAAAAAAATGCTTAGGAAACATATAAGCATATATCTATAGTCTGTCTTCTATGTATATGATGGCACAGTCGGTTTGCTACTAGTATTTTTGTCGTAAACAAAACCTCTATTGATTGGTCTAAATTAATACATCATATAACGTCCTGCATTCAATATCATAAATAAATTAAAATATTTATTAGGTTTTGTTATTCATTAAAGTAATTCCATCATTTTGTCCAGTAGATGAAAAACGACTTAATGCTTAAAAAAGTTGATAATTTATAATATTGTCCAAGTATGCAGGTATATCACGAAATTTCGAATTTGTGAAAGCGGAATTTTATTTTGTCAGGAAATGTCTGCACGGCCTAAAATTGACAAAATCAGTGTTTATCTACACGTTTTCTTTAAAATATTTCTGCAACCAACTTACTCAGGCGTGTATATTGGGTTGCATATCACAAAAAATAATGACGATTATTAAATATTTATTAATATATTAATAGAATAAATACCTGGTAGTAAAATTAAATCTTCAGTTTGTTTATAAAATAGACACATTATATTTGGCAATATAATATCCAGTAGCGTAACGATAGTGGGAAATTAAATGGAAATTAAAGTTTTAATGAAATTATATGGTCATATTTGTTTTTTATATTTTGGCACCTAAGTACCTACCTTATGTTTTTAGTCATACGATATAAGAACATACATACGTTTTTCCTTTGCCATTTTATGTCTTATATGATTTAATTTTTAGAATAATTTGTTTATTTTAAACTGATCTAAGTATCTTTCCGCAAAAGTATTACATTTAAAAAAAGGAACTAGATTCAAGAACTGTTTAGAAGCTTACGAGTAGATACATAGGTTTGTAGCTCTGCATTTTTAATACATCCTATAACTCTTGTGATGAAACGTCATTATTGAATATACAGGGTGATTCAGGTTTAATCTGGATAACTTTAGGAATCGATAGAACAGGTTAAAATAATGTTCATTCATAATATAAACTTCGCATCGTTTCGGAGATAGAGGGCGTTGAAATAGATTTTTTTTCCCGCTTTTCCCTCATAACTTTTGAACCACTCATTCGATTTAGGTGAAATTCGGAACAAAAACACTCCTTATGATCTTACACAAGCTTCTTAAGTTTGAACCACCTACCCCTATCAGAAATGTATTTTGTGTGCTACTCCCCTCCTACATCATTTCAAAACTTCAAAAAAATTAGTTAATTTCAATAAAACAGCTGTACACCACTTTTGTCTCATTAATTTTGAAACTTTTTCATCTTTTGTTTTTTTTTTTCGATATTTGGCCTTGTTTCTGAGATATTCAATGTACCCTGACAGTGCAGCGCCCCAGCCGGGTAAATTTCATGTAACATTATAGCAACCCATGAAAAACAAAACTCACAATGGTTTGTATAAACTGACATTTGTGAAAATCATCGTTAAAAGTATTAATTTTAAAAGTATTTTTAGTGCTAAGAAAAGGGAAAACAATTCCTACTTCAACTCCCTCTACCTCCGAAATTTAGGAAATAAGTTTATATCATGAATGAACATTATTTTAACCTGTTCTATCAATTCCTCAAATTATCCAGATTAAACCTGAATCATCCTGTATATATCCCGTACTACTTAAAAAAATATATTGCAATGTACATGTTAAGTAAAGCGGCTTCCTACAACGCGAGATTCGACCAGCAAATCGTCAAGACGGTGCAGAATAGTGAAAGCTTGTTCTCTCGGGAAGTCATGCAAGCACGGAAAAATCTATTTCCGGACGTGTAATACTAATGAACGATATTTTTTATTATACTTTGAAAACGGAAACATAAAGACAAAATATAACAAAAAGAGACATATGAAAGAAACTTGGAACATTTTTATTTTCATAACAGTTATAGGAATAAAAAACACGTAGAGCTGCATATTTACGATAAAGTGTAGGGCTCAAATGTACATCCTTCATTGGTAATGGTGAAACTTCTTCATGTAAGAGTTATAGGTATATGTTAAAATATCAGATAGCATACAGACTTTCTTAAATTTTGTTTACTTTGCTGTATCGTAACGCTATATATTCGGTATTTTTATTCAGCGCATGGAATCAAATTGGAAAAATTTTTTCTGTGCGCTAGCCCGAAAACGCCCATATACAGGGTGTTTCAGAAAGACCTCTCACCTCAGGGGGTGATAGTATAACAAAAAAATAACAATTTTTTGTCTTATGAACTATATGTCTATCTCCTCGTTTTCGAGATACAGCGACAAAATAAAAAATTTTAAATAGAATTTTTACGAAAACCAAACGGTGCGAAATATTTTTATGAAATTTGGTATTCCGGGGTTTTTAAGGACGCCAAATACGCTGTTCTAATTATTTTTTGTATATTTCATAGAGAGCGCTAGTCAGCGTTGCCAGATTTTTTTTCGGGCAAAGCGGGATTTTGAAACTTTTTAAATAAAAAAGCGGGATTCTTTCGTCCAAAAACGGGACATACTACGGGTTTGTATAATCGATGTCTAAAAAAAAAGGAAATATCTATTTAATAACAGACGACCTGGAGAAAATAATTGATGCCTAAACAAAAAACAAAACAAGAGCGGGATAAGCGGGACTGAGCGTGTCCCGCGAGGGACATTTAATTTTGGGTTAAAAATCGAGACGTCCCGCCAAAATCAGCGTCTGGCAACGCTTGGCGCTAGTTAAAGTTCTAATTTTTTTAAGGTTCGGTTTTTACCATTCGGGTTCCAATTTCTAATGTACAATTTTATTTTCTAAAAATAATGTACTCTTGTTAGAACTTCCTAATGTGGACGGTTTTCATGTTTTTAATTGAACTCTTATAATATTACGGTGTAGAAAATAAGTGACTTTTTTCAAAGTAGGCTTATGTCAAAACTTATTGATGGATGTCTCTAATATTTTAAACTCTAATTAACTTAAATTTTAGTGATTGTTAGTGACTGTAGTTAGTAATAACTAATTATACTGTAATACTGTAGGAAATCAATTGAAAGCCTTCTTTCTCGAAAACCGTCTACATTAGCAAGTTCTAACAAGAATACATTATTTTTGGAAAATAATTGTATATTAGAGATTGGAGCCCGAATGCTAAAAAAACTAACCTTAAAAAAATTAGAACTGAAAATGTAATAGAAATGTAGCATAACTAGCGCCCTCTATGAAATATCCAAAAAATAATTATACCAGCGTATTTGG